TTATTTATTTAATTTATATGCCGCCCACACTACCCAAAGGTCTCTGGGCGGCTTACAGCATTTAAAATACAATAAAGATATGTACAATTAAAATACAATTAAAATATATATAAAATTGCCATCAGACCCACAGTTAATATTATTTCAGTTAAAAGCCTTCTGGAACAGGAAGGTTTTGACCTGGCGCCGAAATGTCATCAGTGTCGGCGCCAGACGAATCTCAGTCGGGAGGGCATTCCATAGTCTGGGGGAAGCTGCCGAGAAGGCCCTTTGTCTACAAGCCATCCCTCTTACCTCCTTGAGGGATGGCTCTTTCAAAAGGGCCCCCTGGCTAGATCTTAACTGCCGGGTAGGCTCATATGGAAGGAGGCGGTCCTTCAGGTATCCAGGGCCTAAGCCGTTTAGGGCTTTTCCCACTCTTTTGTTGACTATGAGAGCTACTCCATTTCTTCTATGAGATTCTTGCCCACAATAGTAGATATGATAATAGTCTCAACTGAATTTGCCCATTCCTGTCCTTATTGTAGTTCACTGACGCCCAGGATGTCAATGGGTGACATTCTTGCCATCTCCTGTTTCACCACATACAGCTTACCAACATTCATTGATGTTACATTCCAGGTTCCTATGCAGTATTTTTCTTTGCAGCATCGGACCTTCCTTTCACTTCCAGGCATGTCCACAGCTGAGCGTCCTTTCGGCTTTGGCCCAACCAATTCTTTAACTCTGGAGCTACTTGTACTTGTCCTCTGCTTTTCCTCAGTAGCATGTTGGACGCCATCCAACCTGAGTGGCCTATCTTCCAGCATCATATCTTTTAGCCTTTTGTTTCTGTTCATGGGGTTTTCTTGGCAAATATACTGGAGTGGCTTGCCAATGCCTGCTCCAGGTGGATTGTGTTTAGTCAGAACTCTCCACTATAACCTGTCCATCTTGGGTGTCCCTGCACGGCATAGCCCATAGCTTCTCTGAATTACTCAAGCCCCTTCACCATGACAAGGCAGCAATCTGTGAAGGGGAGGAAGCAGTTTACAAACACCTAAATGTGATATAATCACCCAAATCTGTCAGCTGGCTAAATAGCTCTGTGAGTTAGGTATCTGGCTATGGAGCCAAATTTGGGAGTTTCATTCCCAACTGTGCCTCCAAGGAGAACTGCCAACCTGGTCACTTTCACAGTCCCAGGATGCCCCCAGAAGCAGGGAATGATAAACCACTTTTGAATATTCTCTACCTAGAAAACCCTGAAAAGGGTCACCATAAGTCAGAAGTGAACGGCGCACAATTACTATCATTAAATGTGATACACTTTGGAGAAATACCTAGATTGAAGGCTTTGAGGTTTATCTGGGCCTAGCTCCACTCAAGCTTCTTCTTCAGGAAGTAAGCTCCCAGCTAGCACTGGGACAGGAACAGGATTCTTTGGTGGAATCTCGCCTAGCTAAGTCTCATAGCCTTCTAAGTTTTCTTTCAAGTGCATCAGATTTAGGTATCTGTAAGAGAGGTAGGACTCCCATAATAGAGAATAATATTTGTAGTGCTGAAAATCCAAAAATGTACTGTTTACCCATACTCAGACAATCTGCTTCTCCACTCTAATTTGTGACAGCAAGAACTGCTGAATGTCAAGAGTACCAAAAACTGCCAGCCACAGAGACTGGCGAAACGTCAGGAAGAACAACCTTCAGAACACGGCCAAAGAGCCTGAAAAACCCAGAACCATTAGATCCCGGCCGTGAAAGCCTTCACGAATATATAGTACCAAAAACTGCCTGTCAGCTCACAGGCTTCTTCAGTTTGAAGACATCAAAGTGGTAGGGTAGTGTATGGGGTTTCTAAGCATGATTACTGGAATGTACAACTGCAATTCTTATTTCTTCTGAAAATACAGTATGACTGATAAAGGGTATTCCTGGCCATATTTGAGCACATTATTTTCTTGAAAAACATTTCAATTTGCCTCCATATTTTACATATGTGAAACTACCTGCTCAAACTCCTGCTTCAAATGCATTTCTTGCCGCACACTCATTTTCTTTAAATCAGCATTTTCTCTTTTCAGTTTTTCTATTTCTTCTTGCATGGAAACCAACTGCATTTCAGCTTGAACATGATGTTTTGTCTTGCATTCATCTTCTAATGCCAAGAGTCGTTCAGCTACTTTTGTTTCTATTTGTCGTGCAGCATCTTGAGCATTCTGTAGACCAAGTTTCGCAATTTCTGTAAACAATACAATTTTTAAGTGGGGCTGGGACTTCAATTGTGACAACAGAAGAGTTAAGCTTATTCATATGAAAATGAAAGTTATATTAAATATCTTAGTTTAACGGTACAAATGCTTAGAAGAGTAGACTATCTGTCTCGATAGGCAGGGTATAAATCTAATAAAATAAATAAAGAAGTTGAGTAAAATTCTTACTTTTAACAAAGACTTATGGACTGCACAATTCATAAACTTAATATTCCAGTGAAAGGAAGGTATCACATACACTGCTATAACAACTCCAAAACATGAGTATAGTGTCAATGTTCCCTAGATATAAAACTATCTGAATCCAATCAATGGAAATGTCTTTCTGATTCTTAGAATACCATACTGACTTCTGATGTATTTCGAAGCTTTATATTTCTCCCATGAATTGCAGAAATCTGAGCAGCAGTTTTGGTTATACAGTGGTGCCCCGCATGACAACGACAATCCGTTCCGGGAAAATCGCTGTTAAGCGAAATCGTCATCATGCGAAAAGCCTTTCCCCATTGGAATGCATTGAAACCCGGTTTAATGCATTCCAATGGGGAAATTACCTTGTTGTCCAGCAAAGATCCTCCATAGGGAAGCCATTTTGAGAGCCCTGATCAGCTGTTAAAATGGCTGCCCTGCGAAGCATGGGTCTGGAAAACGCAGGGCAGCCATTTTAGGACCCCGACAATCAGCTGTGAAAATCGTCATCTTGCGAACAAATGGTTCGCGAAGCATGGACCTAATTGTCGTCAAACGAAAATCCCCCAGAGGAAACATCATTTTGCAATCGCTATAGTGATCGCAAAAAAGTCATCGTCCTGCAGATTCATCATACAGCAGGGTCGTCTAGCGAGGTACCACTGTACACAGTTTATTATCACTCCATCTATCCATCCAGCTTGTGTTGCTATTCATTTCCAGGAAGTGGCCTGAGAAAGTTGGGTCTCAGGTTTAGCTAGGGCCCTGTTGTTGTCAGTGTAGCAGCCAATAGTCTGATGGTGACTCCCCAGCCAGCCCCCTCTCCTATCATGATTGTTCCATGTGGCAAGCTGGGGAGGGTGTTGGGGCATGCTAGGAGACTGACGCAGGTTGTGGGGGAGGAGTGTGTGAATCAACTATTTATGATTTCTAGTTACATTTTTAGAAGCACAAAAGTTATACCAAAATTTTGAACTACATGGGAGTCCAGCACCCCAAATCTCTGCATTGTTGAAGAAATAAATGTACATAGTTTAGGGCCCATGTACCTGAAAAGGCATCTTTTTTTTTAATAAAAAACTCATTTAAAAATATTTATTTATTAAGGCATTTCTGTACCACTAACCATTCCAAAAACCTAAAAGTGGTTTATAATACTACATATCAAAACCCACAAACTGTGAGAATAAAAAAAAACCCATAATAGAACAATGGCCTTAGAACTCCCAGCCTTAGAACAATGGCCACAATCTTACTGTAAATACTGATGTGGTGCAACACTAACAACATAAACTTCAGCAGCAAATTGCTACAGGCAAGAAAATAAAAATTCTCAAACAGCAGGCAATACTGAGGCAGAGGAGGAGTGAAGTCCATGTCCTCTTCCTCCTCATCCATGCACTGATATCTGAAGAGGGATTATTCCTTGTCAAACTAGGTTTAATTCATAGTGTTACATCGTTGTGCCGTGGAATGTCACTTTTTCCTGAGGACTGGCTCTCATTTTTTTATACTCCTTTGAAATAAAAAAAATGAGAACCACTCAGGAAAAGGTGGCATTCCACTGCACAACAATAGGCAAGAACAAATGTTTTGGCACAGAAATTTCTAGCATATTCAGACTTTTAGCAGAACTTTTACTTTATGCCAAAATACTCTCTCATTATTCATTAAGGAATGGTTGGTGGCAGTAAAGAAGAGTGAAGGGTTTTAAAGTGACGTGATGACCTCCCTTTGTGAGTAGTGAGGAAGGCCGTCACTGTGACTATGCCAAAGGTTTTGCCTTGGGAGGTCAAGGCCTCCTGGCCAAGGTCAACATTGATGCTGAAGGAGCAGTTTGTTCCTCAGAATGGGAGGGGTAGCCAATGGATACTGTTTAGTGGTCTCTGAGACAGCCTTGTCCATAGCCTTTGACTGGGGCACTAATTTACAGATGGGCTATGCCATGGTTTTCCTGGGCTGGAGAGATTCCTCCTAGAAACTGAGTTTAAGCCTGGAAAGCAGTCTACAAATGACACCATGTCTGAAGTTCTTACAACGCAGTGGGCCTCTCTGAGGCAGAAAATACACTTAAGTGTGGCCATCGGAGAGGAGAAATTTGTTATTGTAAATGATGAAATGTTTAAATGGGCCTGTAGAGACCATGAATAAAAAGAATGGGGTGGGGAAGGCCCCAGCCAGAAAGGCCCTGGCCAGGGAAGAAACCAGAAAAAATGGATAAGTAATAATTGGAAAGAACTTATAATGGGAAAAAACCACAACACAGTCTATTTCTCTTTCCTATAGGAATAAACTCACAGAAGCAACAAATGAGACTCTCAAAGTGGCAGCTGAAAGAAAACTGAGGGGAGAGTCTTGGTGCCAAGGTACATATAGTGGGGGAGCGGGGCCTATACTAACATGTTTCTTTCTGATCACAGAAGCTCTACAAGGTTCTGATGAGGCTCTGCTCATGCGCGGATCACCCAGAATATGATTCAGAGGTCACAAAGAAGAATTTGTTTCCTGCATTCATTTTTCTTCATACTTCTCAGATGGCAAAACACATATACTTACATAACATAAGGTGTAGTTCGTAGCTCTTGTTAGTATAATTCATAATTTTTCTTATAAATAGGCTTAAATTTTATAATTACACCAAATTATCTAAGTATGCTAACTGAATTATGAGAACAATTCGTGTTACTAAAGCAAGTTTAAATTGCAAGTTTAAATTTAATAAACTTGCATATGATGTGAAAATAAATAATGAAAATGTTTAACTTGACCCTTTTTCATTTTCCCCAGAAAAAAAATCCAGAAACTTTACTTCTGTATATTAGAATGAAAATATACGTGCATGTGTAGAACTTCATTCAAGTGTGAATTTCTACAACGACTCAATTTCAAAGGGGAAGAAAATTCAAAATACACGTGATACCTTTCTGTCAAGGTTTTGCTATTGTAACACAGTTAGAACTTATTAACACAAATAAGTGGTCCTCGCTTGACCAGATAGGCGGGATATAAATAAAATAAATAAATAGATATGTGGTTAAGCACAGCAGGTGCAATTAATGAGGAAAAAGTGAAGAGTCATGCTGTATAGGCAGATGATGCAAGAAGTCGATCTGATGTCATTTCCCATTCGCTACTGTGACTATATGTTTGTATGGATACATGTACAATTTGGTTCAGTTTGAGAGCCTATGCTATGCTGTACTCAAGTGCTCTGAGAGCTCATTTACTCAGATGCAGAGATGCTGCTGGCTTGTCTGTCTTTGTATAGTTGTAAATAGACTTTGGTGATGGAAACTATGTTGTCTGAGTCCTCTAGAACTGGAGAACCTGCACACTCTGCAATTTCCTTGACACTTTCAAACACTGTACTCATTAGTTCACAAGGAGCATAGTTTTTCCATTTAATATAAGCATGGCAATTGAAAATCCAGTTTAATAATGAGGTACACTATCTTACCTTTGAGGTGCTCTTCTGAAATTTGGGCACGGAGCTCTTCAAGATTTAAACAGTGTTTTCTTTTCAGCTCCTCAATTTCAGAGATATATTTCTCTGACAAATCCATCTTCATCTTCACGAGGCTCTCTTGGTAATGGAGTTTGAGAGAACTCTTTAAAGACTCTATCTCTTCTTTGTGTTTTTTATCCAAATGCAGCTGTAGGCTACAGAGTTCTTCCTAAAGCCGACATGCAGAAGAGAAGGCCTTAGAACATTTATTAATGCTACATGTAATACTAGAACTGAACCATATACCCTACTTTTATGGAAAGTAATTCAATCAGCACATAAGCACAGCCACAATCAGACTGAAAAACTAAATGCTATGGTCTTTATGTAAAGAAAGAATTGAGCAAGAGTAGTGCTCAATTGTAACAATATTCTTCATCTACTGGACAATCTGCAACAGCAGCACAACTGCAAGTAAGGTACCTGATTAAGAAAGGAGTATATATCTAAATGAATGTTTGGACTAAACATGGGTTGCATGGATTTAAAATCTGAATGCTACTAATATAAAATACTATACTGATATAGAACAATGTTGTGTGATTTATAATGATTAGCACTTTTCCACCTGAACCACTCACTATACCACCCTAGGAAAATGGCACCACAGGAAGAAAAATACTATTTATTTATTATTTATTTCTTTTATTTATATAAAAGAATTAGTGCAACACACTATTCTGGGTGGTATAGGAAAGCTGATACTGATTCTTCTCAAGGATGCATGAGAGGAAACACATAGCGCTGGGGAAAATGCCAAAGATAAAAGGTTGTAATTAATTAATTAGACACACTCATCCACAAATGCCTCCACATATGCCTATGAAACTATTATTAAATTTTAAATTGGGAAATTATTCAAACTTTGAGACACACCTGTTAAATTAATTCATATTACTTCAGTCTAGTACTGAAGCAGAAAGAAGAAATCACATGCTAATAACACCTACTACTCTCCATAAAATTTGAGTAATCAGAACAACTGCCTCAGGTTGTTTTCCATTAGCAATCATATTTTATACAAAATGTGTTTATGACAAGAGATTTCCAGGGAAGGGGGAGAACATTTTCAAAGGTGATCCTTATTTGTCTTGGTAAGGGTTGAAAACAGAAAGTATTTGAAGGAGTTTAGTATGGCAAGAAAGTTGGGGGGAAACTTTTGAAAAGGTTTAGGACTACATGGAACCCATGGATTCAAAGTAGCACCTCTATGACTTCTCTAATCTATCTGTTACGGGGGACTGGTCTAAAAGATATATACCACTTACTCAAGAAACATACTATTCATCTATAAGCATCCTTCAGTCTCGAGAGACTATGGTAATGCGCTCTGAATAGAGGTCTTGGAACAGCGTCTTGTGTGGATGAGAAGGCCAATTCGAGAGTGACAATCCCTTCCACACTGAAGACAAATACAATCTGTCCCCTGACCAGCTCCCTGATTTTGCTGGTTTCGGGACTACCTCTTTGCCTAGGCCTGCTGGACAGTGTCTCTTCAAATTGGAAGAGGCCGTGCTGCACTGCCTGCCTCCAGGCTGAATGCTCAGATGTCAAGGTTTCCCATCTCTTGAGGTCCATTCCTAAGGCCTTCAAATCCTGACTTGCAGATATCCTTCTATTGCAGCTGTGGTCTCCCTCTGCTTTCCCTGCACTAATTCTCCATACAGGAGATCTTTCGGAATCCGACCGTCAGGCATTTATTTATCAGCCATTTATCAACAAATTATCTTCTTATCAACTACTTATCAACAATTAATTATTACTTGATAGTAAGCTAACATTCCTAATTCTACATTTTCAAGGTGTACATAGAGATAGAGTTCATCTAGGTAAAGTTAACTAACAGTGGGGAAAGAGACAAGTGAAATAGCAACACCAAAGGCATAAAAGTCACATACTAACAGGCAAGTATACAAAAGCAAAGAACTTTCTTAGATAAAACTTACTTAACATCTAAGTAATTAGACTGGAAACAGGGATCAGTAGGTGGGATACTTGTATTAAGCCTGCTCACTTGGAGGTGAGGAGTGCTGGGAAAGTAGGAGTCAGAAAGCAGTTGAAGAGGGGCCTCAAGAGGATAAAAAATAGTTCTCCTTACAAATTCACCAAGCCAATGAAAGATTTCTTTCCCTGAGAACCCTGAATAAAAGTACATGAGTAATTTTCACCAAATTTTGACATGCACTTTATGTTTTTAGAAAGAGAAAATGGAGTAAACGTGTCAATTTTCAGTATTTTCTAAATTGCTTTTGGTAATGTTATCAGATCAACTTGAAATCTTACAAACGTGTCAAATAAATTGGGAATACCAAATTTTAGATTATTAACACAAAGATTATTGTCAGATTAACAAAATTTTTCTAAGTAACAAAACTTTGAGATTTAAAGGATCAGAACCTCTCTTTTTCTGTGATGTGCCTTAAAGGGATATTACTGTATCCCTTTAATTTTCTCAGAAATTCTTATAACTGCGTTTACTGGTTTTAGGTCTTGTCGCTTCTCTGGTTTGCTGCTGCTTTTAAGTGCTGCAGTATTTTTCACTCTTCGCTACTTGTTTTGTCTTGGTTGTATTTCATGCTTCCTCTGTTCATTGTTTCAGTGTTTTCATTTTACATTTTAGGATACATTTGTGAAGATTCTCAGGCATCCAGGTGTGGTTATCTTGAAGTTGAATCATGGCAACTGGACGGAAATATTTCGCTACTCACCCAAGCAGCTTCTTCAGTCTGAGAGTTGGTAGATCCCTGAAATATCTGCCAGGTTGTTTTCACTTCCCCCTGGTCTGAAGAGGCTCATAAGAAGGACAAAGGACTGAGGGTGAGGGATAATCCCGCAGTCCTTCTCCACCCATTGTCATGTGTCATTGACTATTGTTAACAGTGATCTTTCTTGTGTGTGTCCCTAATCCTTCTGAGGATAGATGAAAGGGCAGCATGATAAATAGGCGGCAGGTGTTATCTAAGGCCTCCACCAGTGTTGAGTGACTCCAACCCACTGGTTCACATATATGGACGACACCTGGCTGAAGATCAAGATTCAGGAAGTGCCTTCACAGACCACATAAACGCAGTGGACCCAAATATTAAGTTCACAAGGCCTGTCATTATCCAAAATGGGCCTTTAACAAGGCAATGTCCTGACCCAGGAGGACAATGGAAAAGTCTGAGACCCAAAGCTGACGGAAGAACCTAATCGTTCCTTACATGGCGAGTGTGTCTGAAAAGCTCAACAGGATTTTGGTAAACACCACATACCTGTGCACTTCAAACCCACAAACACACTAAGGCAGAGATTAGTCCAACCAAAAGATCGGACATCAAAACATAACAGGAGCAATATACAGTATATGCAGTCCAATGCAAAGAGGAGTATTTGGAGCTCTACACTGGAGGAAACAGTCACTAAACAGGAGAAAGGCATGCTAGGCATGTTGGACACCTTACTACTCCCTATACCACACCATGGCTGGAGTGCAATGTGTTCCAGCAAAAATAGTGCACATCTTTATCAAATTTGATGCATCCTGCTAGTTCGGTACACAGCCTGTGTAGATTCAATAATATTTTTAATTCAAACAATGTATGATTTCCTTCCTTTCGAATCAAGGGGGTAATGTTGGCTGTTACAGTCAGCTCTGATGTCACCTGTCCTTCAAGGGTTTGGAGGGAAAGTTATCATCCAATAGTGGTCGGGAGGCGGGACATCAGGAGGAGGAGCTGTGTTGTATATATAGAAAGTGGATGTTTTAGGTGGGAGGGAGAGAAGGAGTGGGGTTCTGTGTGAACACGTGTGGAGAGCCTGTATAAGCTTGAGCCTTTCGTTACCTGATTACATGATATTTGTGTTTTACCAATCCATGTGTACCAATCAATAAACATTTAGTTCTTTTATTTTTAAATCCATTCCAGTCTGTGTGACTCAATTCAGGGAATGGTTGGTGGCAGACTACCGGAAGTGTAGAAGTGTGGTGACGTAGCGACCTTCCTTTGTGAGGTGGAAGGAGGTCGTTACACATGGATACACACAAACAGCTGTGACTGAGTCCCTTTGATCTTGGGGAGTTCTATTCAGTGGTGTCCATCCAGCAGCAGAATGGACACACTTGGCAGAACTGATTTCCCAGGCCACATGCAGATTTCATACCTCCAGTGTTGCTCTAGAGGACTGAGAGACCTATTGAAGCTAACTAGTGTCATCAGATCAGATTACATATTTCTGATAGCATGCCATTTGAAGCTAAATCAAATTTGTTTTCTAGAAATGTAATTTAAGCAGATTTTCATGGGGGAGCAATCAGACTTTCAAACAAAGCTTGTGTTTACTTCCCAGTGAAGAATCAGAAAGCAAAGCAAGTTAACTGAAAACGATGGAGGGTGTCAATCTCTCCTTTCATGAAAAAACAAGCACATTGAAAACTCTCTTTGCTTAATCTGTTATAAGGTATAGTTTGACAAGTAGATATGCTAAGGAGAATGCAGGAACAGAACATTTTATAGCAGGGAGGAAAAGAATACTTCAGTGCCACTGGATGTTGCTGAGTGTGGCTCACTGCCAGAAAATCGAGTACAGGATTGTAATGTTACAGACCAATACTGTGTATGTTTACTCAGATATTCATTAATGGGTCTTGCTATCTTGTGAATATTTTGAAGCACAGCCTAAATAATGAACATCTTGCTATGCCCTAATTTATCTGGGAAAATGATAATTGGACTAATCACGCTTAACCATCACAGCAGAAACAGCAGTGACTCAATATGTGCAGAGACATGTTCATTTCCATGTGAAAGTGGAAGAAGGCGCTGGACTAAGGAGCATTAAGGGGTTAATGAAGATCACAAGACGAGCTCCAAGGACAATCTACTGGACAGTTTGAGCCTCTGTGACTGTTGTTTAGTTTGTTGGACTGCAGATCGCGTGTGAGTCTAATAATAGAAGCTTGCTGAACTCAGGAGAAGAAGAAATAACTGTGTCATGGTTCTATTTGATATTGTATTTGCTGGGCTAAAAGTTGATTTTTATATTACAATATTTGGATAAAGATTGGAGGGAGATCTAAGGGGAGGTTTATGATGAGAGGTTTGATAAAATTGTGAAAACTGTGGAAGGATTTCTAGGGGGTGATTATTGTGATATCTATACAAACCCTAAAGCCTGAGATGGACCCCAAAAATTCAAAAGAACAAATGGAGACTTCGTCTGTTCAATCCCAAAGTTCTGGAATAGTGATGCAAGAAATAGAAAAGGAATGGCAGATTAATATACAAAGGATAATAATAACAGGGTTTCAGCGAGTGAATGCAGGTCTTAGCAAAATAGAAGATTTGATGAAAGGGACGAAAGAGGGGACAGTAGATGCCAAACAAAACTTAAATGAAGTTATACAAACTTTAGAATTGTCTGTATTAGACATGACAGTAGGTAACATGAATACGATAGAGAGTTATCCAGTGACCCATGCAGCTTCCAAAATTAAAAAGCATTATGACAAAAATCTTAAGGAGGCAGAGATACTGAAACCAGACAATCTTATGGTGAAAATATGGGAAGTGAAAAAAATGGATATTCTGTCAGATGGGCTGAAAGACTGTTCAATTCAAAAAGAAACTGAACGATGGGATGTATTGTATAAATGGCAGCAGTTACCAGAAAATGTTGGAATAACATAGAATAAAATTAAAATTAAATGATAAAAGCAGGGTAATTAAACTGTGAAAACGCAAAAAGTTGATATGTATTAGTAATATGAATTGATTGGATGATG